ATATGTGCATTGAGTACGTCCCCGACCTCCTCGTCCTCCTCCTCTAGTGCCACGTCCTCCTCTTCCTCGTGTGGCAACCATGACAGATGGTTCCACTAGTTCATGCGCTTCTTGAGTTTGAGATACCGGGACACGCAGAAGGCGAGTGGTCAATGTTTCCATAGAGGGAACCTCATGACTAGTTAGAAGTTGATCTCTGAGATGATCAAAATCGGGATGTAGGGCACGAAGGATCAACACCATGTAAAATTTGTCTAGTTTCTTTTTGATATCCTCTAATGGATCTACTTCCAAAAACATCCTAAGTTCTTCGACAGCAGATTGGGCTTCAGCCATGAAGGACACCATATCATGGTCTGCCATTTTAAGAGATGCAAGCTTGTTCGTAGTGTCATAGAGACGTTGAATATCGTTGGCATAAATGCTTTGGGCTTTCTTCCAAAAGGAGTGACAAGTTTTGAAAGCCCTCAAAGATACAAGAAGTTTCGGTTCCACTGATTGCCATAACAGGGTACACAACTGGAAATCTGCTTGTTTCCACTGATCAGCTTTTTCAGTAGGCACATGGCTTCCATCTCGCTCAAGGTGGTCATAATGCCCTTGGCCAAGGAACCACATTGATAATTTTTTCCATTTAGCTTCTCGGAGGTAATTGATGGACTTCCAGAGAAGGAAAGAGTACTGCCAGACGCCATCTCTGAAGAAGACAAATAGTACTAGCGAGGAACAAGAAAACCCTAAGGGTTTAGACGAAGGAAACTGTGACAGTGATGGACGACGGTGGTCGGCAACGGCGACGGTGGCCGGCGGCGGCGACGGTGGCCGGCGGTTGACGGTGGCCGACGGCGGGCAGCGGCGGGCAGCGGCGGGCGACGAAGAACTGTGGCGCCGGACAGATATATATTACGAGACAGAAACCAGAGCGGGATCGACCCGCTCTGATACCAACTTAAGATTGAAAAGAAATAATTCTTGAGGGCTTAATTGATCCCTCTCACAATCTTCTATTTATAAGAATAAATTGATACACAAATACATGATAAATAGGGTAATACTAAACACAATATAATCATGATAAATAGGGTAATCCTAGACACAATATAATCATGATAAATAGGGTAACCCTTGACACACTATAATGATGATAAAATAGGATAAATATCCTAACATAAACCTTTTGAGATGTTGAATACACAACAATGATACATTCTTGAGAATGAAAAGCCAGCTTGTACGAAGTGTGTGACCAGAGTAAAGTAAAACATGCACATCAAAAAGCCCTTTAAAATCCATAAAGAGGTGAAGTCTGAAAAAGATGTGAATAAGATACAGAAAAGTTCAAAAATGCAAACAGTAATCTATTAATGGAAAACTGCTGTGATGAAAGCGTGATCCCAGTACTTCAGAGGTAAGGAAGCTTGGCTGAGAACAGCGAGACCCATATCAACAAAATGACAACACTTTCTGTCAACTATTCCATTTTGATGACGTTAATGAGAGTATATAAATATGTGATTTGTTTGAGATATATGGTGAAGAGACTAAAATAATCTCTCTACGCGTATTACAACATAAGAGCCTGCATAGAAGTGTCTCAAATACAAAGAAGATACAAAAAGATGGGCCAAGGCACATATATTTAGTTACACTTAATACTCCTCCTCATGTAGACACATAAATCATATGAACGAAGCTTGTTACTAGTATAATCAGTTCTTGGACCCCACAATAATTTAGTGTGGTGATGCCTCTAGATACAATATTTTCTTGGATAAAATGACAATCTACCACAATATATTTAGTCCTCTCATAAAATACTGGACTTGACAAAATATGTAGGGCAGCTTGGTTATTACAAATAAGATTCGTTTGCATGAACTCTCCAAATATCAATTCTTTAAGCAACTGATTGAGCCAAATAAGTGTGGTGGCAGAGGTCATAGCTCTATATCCTACTTCTACACTATATCTTGCTACTACAATCTGCTTATTGCTTTTCCATTTGATCTAGTTGTTCCCAATAAAGACACAATATCTCCTTAGGAGATACAACCCAATTTTCATCTATTACCACAGCAAGAGTGTGATTATTGTAACCACATAACAAACCTTTTCTATGCGCAACTTTAATATACTTCATAATGCAAATCACTGCATTACAATAATAGAAGGAGATATTGATAGGATATGGAAGGTTTATGGTAGAAGGAAATATAAAAGGAAGAGGTAGAAAAGGTTATCAGAAAATATAAGAATAAAGGAAGCAGTGAATAAAGGAAGGGATGGAAAAATAAGTGGAGATAGTGCAGTCAGTTGGGAATTGGTCCATATAATTAGACCAATCAGTTCCTTGAGGGGAGGATGATAATTTTATAGATTGAGCTTTAGCTCTTTGTGAAGGGGAAACCATTGGAGGAGAGAGTGCTCTCCTATTTTGTGTTCTTTTCAGTCTTTTCAATAAAAAATATTACTCTTCTTTCTCTTTTCAATTATGGGTTCCTAACAGATATGATATGATACATTATCCTTATAAGCCCAATTTGCATCTATTACCACAGCAAGAGTGTGATTATTGTAACCATATAACAAACCTTTTCTATGTGCAACTTTAATATACTTTATAATGCAAATCACTGCATTCCAATAATACAAGATATCATATGATATAGTATTCTTATATTAAATAGGGTGGTATGATATGTTATAGTTTTCTTATATTAAATAGGGTGATATGATATGACATGGTATTCTTCCAAATATTTCCCACTATTCAAGATTGATTTTATTCCTTATTATTGTATATGTTCATTGTTATAATTAAGAATACTCGTGTATACCCAACACACACAATGCATTATACTCCTTCTAGGTTTTTCTCTCCTGAACATGGCACCAAAGCAGTACCATAATCTGTGACACTTTTCCTTTCACCAGATGTTCATATGTAAACAAATAGAATAAGCAATTCTGTTTTCAATAGAAAAAGAGGACATTTTATGGATAAGGAAACGTATGATAAGTATAACATCACCCCAGTGATGAGCTAGTACATTAACACCTACTGATAAGGTACATGCAGTTTTAACTAAGTATTATACCATTTTGCTAAGATGTATGAAAACATGTAGAGTGATGTAAAATTCCATGTGAACTTAAAATGGCTAGAAAAATCAGACGAAAAATATTCTTTGGATTATCATTTCCTTCAATTTTCTTATAACTTGTACAAACTGATTCTTTTTTCATTAAAGATAGACAAAAGATCATATCAATCTTCCATTAAAAATTATTCAAGTAATCAATAAATGAAACCAAAAGATGTGACAAGTCATGGGCCCTAAATGTTAAATTGATGGTGGACAAAAGTAGAGTTACATCTTGTTTCAATTTGCTTTTGATTTCATTAATAAAAAATGGAAGCAATGTTTTACTTTAAGCATTGCCACTGGAGGAAGAGAGACAGTAAAAGCTAGAATGTCATCCAATACACAGATCTTTTTAATCTATAACTCTATATATATATATAAAAGGGATATGGGGTTGTTGTTTATAGATTTTGTTCTCTATTTTAACCTTATGTTACCCCAAAAACTTCCAAAATAAATCTCAATCTTATCCTTGTACCCACACTCACTTCTAACTGTATTCTGGAAACTACCCACTTCTATTATTTAACTTCTATTATTATTTATTTTCTTTTAAATACATGTAGGCATGGAGTGCCTCTTTCCCCCTAGTATTAGCATAAAAAACCTTCATTTCGTTATTTTTCTTCATATACACTGTACTCGGGAATGAATGCTATGAAAGGACTAGAATGTTTGCTTGGAGACAGTATTATGTGGACATAATGATTAATAGAAATCCTGTAGCCAAACATATGGATTAATGCAAGAAAATGTCATAGGAATGACAATATAATAGGGATATACAAGTCATCCTACTTTTCACGGAGGGAAAGATAAATGCTCACTGCATTTGAATTGACCTTTTTTATTGGGGTTTTGAGTAAGTTACGATGAGGGAGAGGGAAGGGGGAGATAAATATAGGAGAAAAATGAATGAAAGAGAAAATATCTTCAAATTCTTCTTGAAAGACTAAATAAAGTGTTGTAAATATCATATTATTAGGATAAAAAATATTATCAATATGTACATAGTAAATAGGAAAAAATATCTTCATAACCTTTCCATTTATTTCAGCATATTTATATTTCCTTTTTTCAAAAGGTTTTGGCCATTAGAAATAGAGATGATGAAAATGTAATTTGTGATTGATATCAATAAAATAATTCTTGATTTTTCAAGTCAAAGCAAGTGTTAAAGAAGCTTTTCTAAGACTCTAGTTTATATATATCATATAGTTACAAAGAATAGAAATGTACAAAGATAGAATCTTCATTTGTATGTGAAGGCACGATCTAGCAAAGAGGTCCATCAGATATTTCATTTTCTTTTCTAGAAAAGCCTATTACACGGCAACTATAGTTTGCTTCTGTGCTGGTGATGATTACAGAGAAGTTGATACTTAACAGCTCCAACAGAGATCGCATACCTTGACTCCTTGAGCAAATTCAAATCACTAACTACAAAGCACATTAAGTGAAAAGAAGGGATAGAAAAACAACTTATCTTTTCCTTGCCCTAGGAGGCAATGATGGCTAACAATTTGCTAATATTTACATAAAATCCAATGATAGTTGCATACTTTTGACAAAGAGCAACCTCCAAATAAGTATAACAGATAGAAATTAAAGAAACCATGCAAAAAGACATAATTTAAAGAACCAAGATTAACATGAAAGCCACACAGCAAAAACCAGATAACAAAACAAAATGTCCCTTATTTGACACCATAGACAACCATCATCTACGACATCATCAACCTACATGTGAGCTTTTTAAAGTACAACTTCAAAGACCTCCTAAAAGACAATTTCCCAGGACATTCATTAGTAGATGAATCAACCAATCATCTAGAAAGTTGCAACCCAAGATACCAGTTATATGATTGCTTAACAGGAATCTATCTGTGTCCTTGACCTCGCTGCATGTCATATGCACCCCAAGCCCCAGGCCCTGGTCCATACTGAGGGAAATTCTCCCCTCCAGACTGTACCTGAAATTTGCCAGTTTTAGCAAAGAACAATATCCAAATCAATGGAAAGGTTGTAAAAGACTATTAAATAAACATACTCCAAACAATAATTCCCACCATATACAATATAATATATACATACAATCAAATACATTTAGGGCAATAAACAAACCAAACAATTTGCAAGCTATACAATACAACTTCATCACCCACTGGCTTAAAGACTAAACCGGACTAGCCAATTCATTCAAGTGAAAACCAGTCTAGTGATCAGTATATTTACTGCCAAAACCAGATCATATGAAAATCAGTGAGAACTAGTGATGAAGTGACGAAAGCAATCTAAACCTGTGCAGAAAACCAGTATTTTTTCATTTTTCAAATTTTAAAAATACTATATTTTTTAGTTTATTTAATTCTTTTGTTAAGATAAATTAGAAAATATATCTAAGTATTATATTTAAGGATTACACATAATTAGTATAAATTATAATTAAGAATTACACATGTATAAACCATATTTAAGGATTACACATTGGTATAGACTACATTTAAGGATTACACATAAGTATAAATTATTTTTAAGGATTACAAAAAAAGTATAAATTAGACAACTATTATTACTTTCATTCAATAAAAATATTATATAATTGTCTATATTAATTTACAACTTTTTATATCTTGATTTCTTACAATTTTACTCAAATATAAATTTAATTACTACATTTTCAACAACGGTTCAAATACCAGCACAAGCTATAAAACATAGTGGTCACACAAAGATAACCAATTGGCAATTCTGTAATGACTAAAATAATAGATCAAATATAGCAATATGCTGATTAGATCAGGTGGTCATGAGTGTTGGGAACACAGTTGTGATTAAGAAAAGAAAAACTATTTTTTTCGTGATTGAATGATATTGAACAAAACAAAGGCAAAGACTTTTCCTCCAATGGTTTCCACTTGCTTACAAAGCTTTTGGTGCTATGAAAGCCTTATTCTCCCTATTTATTTATTACTAATTCTTCTAACTAACTACTCTACCTGTCCCCAACTAACTCTCCCTTCCCTCCTCTCCTGACTCAACAGTTCCATCCCTTCAAATTCAAGGTAATTCTCTCGGGACGAGCATACAAAAGAGACAAATACAGTTCTCATGGCATTATTGTAGATTCTGGAAAATTAATCAGTTTTGTCATACCATTCTTAAATATGTGAACTGCTGTTGCAGGACATAAGAATAATTTGAGGTGCTATTTGTATTCACCTAGGTTCATGACCGGATCTGAGATGAGCAAAGCAGTAAAAATGAAGATCCTACTCATACCACCAAGGTCCAGAATTCACAAAGGGTACGACATAATATAAATTGTGTAATCATAACAAGGATCATAAGATCCCATCCTGCAATAGCACTTTTGACTTAGCCCCTCCAACTCCACTGTACTGTACTGATAACTACAGACCTAATGAAAATATCATAATATTCAATGATAATGGGTACCACTTCTACATGTGAGTAAGAATCAACTTATTCGAGGTTTCACTGATGAGTGTCCATTGAAACGGTCCAACTTAAGTACCAAACAAACAACATACAGATTTCCCAAGAAACCACAGATATGAAAACCCCTTTTAATTCAGACTGATCCACTCAGTTAAGACAAATTTGAGATGCAACAAAACTTACTGGGTTCATGCCATAAATTCCAGGGTAAGGATTTCCAGCGTATCCACCATCAACATTGCCATAATTTGCATTATACCCTGGGCCTACAAAATCAAAGCAAAGGACAGCAAACAAAGAAGAGCATTAGTAGGCCAAAACAATGATATCTTGAGACAAGAAAACACAAGTGTCACAAAAAATGGAACTAGACCCAATACCATTTTATGTCACAAATTGCAGTTAGTTAACTCATCAAGACTACATCACAAAAAAAGGATGCATACCTGGATTCCCAGCCGCTGCAGCAGCCCGTGCTCTTTTTTCTGCATTAGCAATTTCCGCACGAAGCTTCTCCATCTCCCGAGCCATTGAAACCAACTTCTTCTCCATCACTTGACCATGCTCATAGTTTTCTGCGAATCCCTTCTTCTCATACTCAATGGCAGCCCTAAAAGGCAATAGACAATTTAAAAAAATACCAACAACATTAACATCAGCTCAGCATCCCAGTACCCCTCTTTAAAGCCACCAAGTCTATATTCACCATTCAACCCATATTCTATAGTCATAAGAAATATGCATTTCATAAAATTCCTTCAGTGTATATATTGTCAACTGCCACATAAAGGATTCAGATTTTACTGCAAACTCTAATGAATAGCTACATAATTCAAAATCAGAGTTGTGTTATTCATGCAACAACAACTAGTTGTTTTATACCCACCTACCTGTCCATCGCCTCATTCATCTCCTCTCCTACTTTTATATGTTTTTATCATTTTTAATATTCTCTATCACTACTGTAAGGAAATTGTTGGACAATTTTACGCAAAAAATAACACAATTCTTTAGAAAATAACCACGGCCAAGGTTTCCTATGCGTAATTTAAAACCTTGATCACAAATAAAGCACAATTCACAATATTGCACCAGATTGAGACAAAGCCACTACCTTGCACATTGCAACTCCTGTTTCATGGCCTCCACATCGGCCCTGAGCGCCGGCAGCCGTTTGGCATCGGCAGTCATGCGGGCCAAGTCCTGCGTCATGGCCTGCACCTGCCCGGACAGATCCTGACGGACGGCTGTGAGCTCCTTGATGTCGGCGTGGACCTGGAGGAGCTCGGCCCGGTTGGCCTCGGTGCCCCGGAGTTCGGCCTCGAGCTGGGCCGACTTGTCGTAGAGCTCCCTCATGCGGGCCTCTGTGTCTGCCCGGAGCGAGTCTCGGAAGTGCGCCACGCGCTGGAGCTCGTGTTGGGCTGCCTCTAGCTCCTGCTTAAGGGCCACATGGGTGGCGGCGAGTCTCTGGTTGTCGCCCAGAAGGCCCTGAATGTCCTGGTGCTGGACCGCGAGACGCTCCTCGATGATCGCCGCCGGATGAAGCGGAATGGGCCCGCGTGGGCCCAGCCCTAGCTGCGAGTCCCGGAAGTCTTCCAGAAGCGCGGGGTGGGGATGGGCGGGGACAATGGGTCCCACCAGATGGTGATGGGCCCGAGCGCCGAACACCGGGTGGTCGTGAATTGGCGGCGATAGCCCCGCGGCATGCGGAGGAGGAAGGGGTTGCCCGCGGTTTCTGCCCGACATAGTTTAACTAAGAACAGTGGAAGAAAAGGAGAAGCGAGTGAAATTGGGAATGTGGATACGTTCAATACTAGAGAAGGGGAAGCACCGGCTTTTCGAGAAGGGAATCGGGGTTAGGGTATGCAAAACGACGTCGTTGCGTACGGAAGGGAGTGTGCAGTGAAATAAGGAATGGATGGACCTCAGTGACCTCTGATACTTTTCATGTTTAGTCAATATCCAAAATTAAAATCCTTCGGAATCTCTGCTACATCGTATTTATTTTCTTATTTTTCATGGTTTTTGTCATCATCGTTCTATTATTTTATTGTTACTATTATCACTTCACTGTTATCGTAACTTTAATCTTTTATATTATTTGTAAATTGTTATATGGTGCCGTTTTAGTTCAAAGTTTAGCTTGTTTCAAATCAGAGTATTTAAAGGTTTCATTACTTGGTATTTCTTTCATATTTATTGACATATGGTTATTATTTAGCAACAATCATGTTTCTTTAGATTTATTAAGATAAGGAGTACTAAAAAAACTAATGTTATCTTTTATTTACTAATTAACTTTAAGTTTTTAACAACATAATTATCTATGTTTTAAATTACAATTTATCATTTTAAGAGGCTTAAGGTTATAACTGCTTCACTTAAACCCCAATATTATCTTATGTATTTTCAATGTGATTGGGTGATATTTTATATAGTCCCAAATTTTTTTATTAGTATCCAAATATTTTTGAAAATTATGACAATACACAAACTCCCATAATTAGCCAATTTTGATGTAAATTGTAACATTCCAAAAATATAGTATAACTATATAATAGAGTTATCACATAAAATGATATAATAGATCAGTCATCTACTAATTAATAAAGATTAACAGTACAGTTATCCAAAATAACCATAAAATTAAAACTTTACAGAGAACGCCTAACGACCAAAACTATAAGCACAACCGATCAGTCCAAAATCAAATCTTTCCATGACCGATCGGTCCTAACCTACACCGCTGGGTCCTCTCCGTCCAGCTCATGCTCCACCGAAACTTCACAATTCTCTGCTCACATCCACCGGATGGTCATTGCACAAAAGAAAAATAACGAACGACAACATAACAAAACAGAAAGTAAGGGTAAGCTAATGTAATAAAAAAAATCATATGAACATACAATTCAAAACACACCGAACAGATAAAACAATTAAACACAAGTAGAAAAACATATAACACATATTGACAGACCACTTCAACCGACCGTCCGGACTAGTATGAATATGTAGCTTTGGTCATTCGTGCACTCGTGGGTGTAGTAACTGGAAATCCATCAGCTGCCACACAAGGTTAACCCGTTATCACTCACCGTAGGACCCCATCCTCGGCTAGGGCCTCTTGCTATTCTCACGACATGACTTAACCATCTCTACTTGAGACTTGGTAATCACCAGAGTGTCAGGATGAACGTCGTAGATTTCGCTATCCATATTCATACTATACCACCACTCTTGCTTATCCAATCACTGAGACACTCCTCCTTGGAATTCTCTTTTCATACCATTTTAAATATCATACTTTATTTGAATTCTAATACAATAGCTCATACAAGATATATCAACACAACTCTAATAATTAAACCAAACCAAACAATGAAATCAACAGTAAAGACCGAATAACATTTCATAGAAAAGAACCTAATAGACAATATACAACCTCTTAGTACGACTGAACGAAAAACTCAACATAACCAAGGAATATGACTGAATGGGAACACACTCACAACACGTAGTCATGACCGAACGGTCCTTTAACAAGCAATACTCGAATACTATCCTAAAACAATTGAAGAGTCAAAAGCTAGAACAACCAAACACTATCCGCTAAGATCGAACACATAAAACTTAAACCGAAAACTAAGAACTTAGACCGAATACTCAGATAAAAAAACCAATCACTAAAACATAACAAAACAGTCATTAACAGGTAAGGTCCATAGGAGGACGATCACAGTTAATACCGAACACCGGTACTATATCGAATGATAGCGCGAGACCAAAACACTAGTGAGAGAACGAACTTTATATATTAATTGTATACTAGTGCAAAACAAAGGTTATAACTAAACCGAATACTACTAAAACCAAACGTTAATATAACCCTTAGTCTTACTCAAACAGAACACGAATACCACACCAAACACTATTAAGACCAAACGGAAATACAGAACTTAACCATTATACGAAACCTAGTAATACTAACTCGAACGCTATTATCAAATCAAATACTGCCAAGGCCGAAAACGAACGTTAGTACAACATCGAACGATCCTAAGACCAAATACTACTATGAAAATGAATACTGCTAAGACTGAATACCTAAACCTGACCGAGCGGTCAACAACAAACGCTCGACATTCTGTATAATTCTGCATAACTTCTGTAGAATGAAATACAAACTAGAATTTACCAAAACTGAATGTTTTTCAACCCAGAATTCCTTCCAAGATAGATATAATCTACAACTCAACAATCACAACATTTAACATGTCAAACAAACCAAGTCGATCACACAAACATTCAATTTCTCCCACATGCAAAACCATCAAACCATGTTTTCATACATCATTAACCAAACAATTAAATTAACTAGCTTCTCTTACCTTAGAAAATCTGAACAACTTAAATCCCAAAATTCCCAACTTGAATCTTGCACCGAAAGAAACTCTATGAAAACCTATAGATCACCGTTTGGTGAGAAAAGACCAAATATAGGACCAAAATGAAGTCAGAAACTAGAAAAGAAATATGATGGACACATGCAACTCGAGACTTGGCTTGCATGTAACAACAACCAAAGTTTCTGAGAAGAGGATAAACTTACCAATTCAAAGATTGTTTTTGATTGGTGAAGAAGGAAGCTTTTGACACCAGGAAAGCTCAGGCACGACCTGATTGATGATCAGATGAAGAAAAGTGAGAATTTTCTAGAGAGAATTTGTAGAGAGAATGAGGAGAAGGAAGATATCAGAAGGTTGGAGAAAGAAATAGTGCATGAAGAAAGTGGAACATAATTTGAAACTCTCAGTTATATACCACCGTCAAAACCGAACGGTCCACTCCCTTGCAGACACCTGTCTTTCTCTATCCTTCTTTAATTTTCTCAGCTCTCACATAAATGTTGCAAGCTCATGTTCATATAATTTTTGTTACATGATACCTAATTATTGAACGTTTCTACCAGTTAAGACAATACATGTGTTAAAAAATTAAGTACATTTCATTTTGTTGTTTTGTGTCTTTAAGATTGTTTGATTTGTAAATTTTTCATATCATAAAATAGCATAAGATTATGAATCTTGCAATATAAAATCATTTTGAATATATATATAATGAAGGATTTTTTGGGAACTAATAGATACATTATAGTGAGTTATGTTGATCATGTTGCTAAGAGATTATGAGATGGTTAAACAAGAAACAAAGCTTATTTAATTGTCATGTTAATTATGTGTTAAGGAACTAATGTTGTGTTTGGAAAATTTCAAGACTTTAGTAAGGATTGTAATAATTATCTGGGATAATATGCTTGAAAATTATAATCTTCAAGATAATAATATGTTTGACTCATCTCATAAGTATAATACTCAAAGAGCTTAGTTATTATATCGTTTGATGGTATGTCTGGTTTGTATCATATAGATTACCTCGTTTGTATAATTTTGTCTGATGTGTTAGGCTTGGGATATTTATGCACATAAGCAATTGTTTTTATTGTTGTTTTAAGTGATATTTGTCAAACTTTTTTATTCAATTAAATGTCAGGTTAAATCATGTTATTCATTTCCATTTTGTCAAAAAATCTAAGAAAAATTCCAGAAAAATTTGCATTTTAACTTTCTAAAAGGGATAATTTTCACTCGCAAAAGTGGAGGTTGGTTAATAGAAGACACCATTAGCAAATGTTTGATTTTTTCCAATCATTTTGAACCTTATCTTGAAAAACTATCAAACTAAACTCAGATACCAATTGTTAGAGTCATTGTGCAAAATATTTATGTTGGACTAAAACCAAAAAAGTGAATTGATTTGTTTAACAAAAATTGATACTTTAGAATTTTCTTCGAAATTTATCCTCAATTATAATTTTTCTCTTATTTTATAATTCCGGTGAAATAAAAAGAGTAGGGAATAAAAAATTCATACACAAAAATATTTTATAGTGATTCAAATCAAAAAGACTCTCCATCCATTTGTTAATCTTTCTAAAGAGGGATTAACTCAAACACTAAAAGTAAACTAAACTTATAATCACAGAAGCAAGAGTTTGAGGTTTAGAGAACACTTCTCTTGAAAACACAAGAAATGAAAGACACTTTCCTTGAATCACATAAGGAATGCAACACTTCTTTTGAGTCACACAAATGATGAACAACTTCACTTAGCAATTACAACAACACTCATTCACACAATAACTCATTTGGTGAAAGTTATTGCTTTACCCACACTAGTTTTTTCAAATCCATTTTTCCCAAACACAAAGAGTTTCTTTAGTAGTCTCAAAAAAATGTTTTTGAAATAGGTCTCCCCAAATTTTATAGACTTCTTATTTTAAAATTTGGTCAAGAATTTGGAGAATCAAATCACAACTACCAAGAATTTGAAGAATCAAATCACAACTACCACTGATGATTGGAGATAATCGATTATCGCATAAACTTTTCTGAAAACATATTTTTTGCTATGATAATCATTTACTAGCAGTGGAATTTAATTATCATAGAGTCTCTCGTGAAAAAATTAGATAATCAACTATCATTAGTGTTAATCATTTATCACAAAGTTTTTGGACAAATAAAATCTTCTTTGAATGATCTCAGTGCATGATGATTTGTGACTTTCTAAGATAAGAAGTCCTACAAACAATTTATTCACAAATATATGACTTATTATAAAGACTTAATCAAATACATAAATATAATACAAGTTTTCCAATATATTTTATCATCACTAAGTTCTTGGACTTACTTTTATCATCATCAAATTTTACTCTTGAAGAATGATCACCATCATCTTCTTTTTCTTTCTTGAATGATTTTTGTGCAACTTGCTTTGTGACTCTCTAAGTTAAGTCTTACCAACAATTTATTCACTAATATATGACTCGTTACAAAGACATAATCAAATACATAAACAAAATACAAGTATTCCAATATCTTTTATCAT